GAAATATAAGAAGACACAGCATCAATCTTTTTATGATACCTATCTGCATTATGTGAAGGAATTCAATTGCTTGGATAAGTTCCTGTATAAAAAATATATTCTTAACTTTGAATCTAATATAAAGTCCAATCCCAAGGCATTTTTGACCTTCATTAAATCGAAGAAATCATGCTCGTCGATACCCTCTACGATTTTCAATAAAGATAAACACGTCAATTCCACTAAGGATGCTGCTAATTTGTTCGCTGATTTCTTCTATTCGAATTTTGTTTGTGACAATGATGTGTCCTGTGAGGACTTTTCTTCGGATGTTAAATCCTTAATTAATCTTGGCACAATCTCACTTTCAGCAAGCGATATTGTTAATGGTATTTCTAAGCTCAAACCATCATCAAAGATGGACATTGATGGGCTCTCAGCAGTTTTCCTAAAAAGCTGCCCAGCAGTAGTTGCTGCTCTGGAAATAATTTTTAACAAGTCTTTATATTGCGGCGACTTTATTGATGCCTGGAAGGTTGCTTCAATAGCTCCCATCTTCAAGAGTGGCAATAAGAGTGATGTCTATCTAAACTAACGAACATCTCGAAGCTTTTTGAGGGCATTATTAAAGATAAGATTTATTTCTCTGCAAAAAGTATAATCAGTCCCAATCAACATGGTTTTGTGGTTGGGCGTTCCACTGTTTCCAACTTAGCCGTTTTCAGTGAATTTTGTGTTTCCGCTTTTACTGCCGGAAGCCAAGTGGACTGCATATATACTGATTTCTCGAAAGCTTTCGATACAGTCTCCCACAAAATACTAATTCATAAACTTGCTTGTCTTGGGTTTCACTCAATTTTCTTGCAATGGCTTAAATCCTATTTATGCAAAAGGCAGTGCATAGTCACCATTGATGATGTGTCGTCTGATGCTTTTACTGCCACTTCAGGAGTTCATCAAGGGAGCATTCTTGGTCCTCTACTCTTTACTTTGTTTATCAATGACATTACTCGTGTTTTTCTCATGCTAGTTCTTTGCTATATGCCGATTACCTGAAGATCTGCTCAGTGGTAAATAACAGGCTGGATATGCTGAAACTTCAATCGAATGTTGAGAATCTTCACTCATGGTGTATTAGATCGCATCTTTGCTTAAATATAAATAAATGTTTTCATGTTTTTTCTTCTTATTTGGCGCTGTAACCGCCTAAGCGATTTTGGCCGAGTCCAAAACAGCACGCCAGTCATTTCTCTTCTGTGCTAACTGACGCCAATTGAAAATGCCAAGTGAAGCCAAGTCCTTCTCCACCTGGTCTTTCCAACGCAGAGGAGGCCTTCCTTCCTGTTTTCATGTTAGTTATTCGAAATTGCGCTCCCAATTTGAAAGTTCATACAGAATATCTAACTGTGTTTTACGCAGTGTTAATGAGATTAAGGACCTTGGGGTTATATTCGACTCTAAATTTACTTTTAATAATCATGTTAATTTCATTATTTCGAAATCTTATGCTATGCTTGGTTTCGTTCGGCGGAACTGTGCTGAATTTTCTGATCCTTATACGTGGAAATTGCTCTACACCTCATTTGTGCGTTCACATCTTGAGTATGCCACAATAATTTGGCGGCCTTTTCATCAGTTTAACATTGACAGGATTGAACGCGTTCAAAAGGTTTTCCTTAAATATGCTTTACGATCTCTACATTTTACTGATCCCATCCCGTCATACAATTCTCGATTGCTTCTTTTAAATTTAAAATCTCTGGAAAGCAGGAGGTCTGTCCTCTCTTTAACTTTTGTTCTTAGCATTATTCAGGGTGTTCTTGACTGTCCGGCCCTTTTAGAGAAAATAAATTTTAATGTTCCGAGAAGGGAACTACGTAGTTACTATCCGTTTTATGGCAATAATAATAGAACTATCTATGCCCGTAATGCACCTCTTACCCGTGCCTTAATTGAACTTAACCAGATCTCAACTTTTATCGAGCTTGATTTTTCTTTACAAAGAAATATTTTTGTCAATATTTTGAACTCATTTTTTTAACTAATGTTGTATTTTTACTTGTTTAAGTAGCCTGCATGATACAAAAAAGAAGGTAGTTTCAATAAACAACTTTTGATGGATAATAAAATTTTTTGAAGTTTCATAAATTGTCAGTATTATCAACGGCCTTGCCACTTTGATAATATTAAAACAATACATCGGAGTATTTTCTTTCCCATATTTTTACCAATGTGAGAATATTTTAAATCAAAACTCACAATCAGTACTTGATATTTTTTTACTTACGTGGTTTGCCCCTCTTTTATTAAAAATATATAAAATGTAAACTGTTACATTGTAATTATTCTTTTTATTTTATAATAAAAACCATTAGTGCATTATGTTGTTATTTTTTTCATTTTCTTATTTTGATATACAATTTTCGTTTCTTTAATCTTGCGATTTAAAAATCGAATTCTAAAGAATGTTCTTCCCAAATAAAATCTTTTTATAATATTTTGGTCCAAATTTACTTTTAAATTTCTCATCAGATTTTGCAAAAATTTTGGCTTTGTGGTTAGCGAATCACCATTAATTTCAACAAATTTTGAATTCAAAATTTGCAATGTATGCAAAAAACTTGAATTAGGCTTGTACAGACCGCCCTCCGATAAACAGTTAACATACGTATAATTTTGATCACTTTCTACATGCGTCCTGAAGCCTAGTTTTGTCAACCCCATTTTCGAAATTATGTAGCCGGCAAAATTTTCAAGTCCATCATATTCCACATCTTTGAGTGGACTGATGAAATCTTCTGCTTCATGCTCTTCTGCGAGCTACTTAAAAAAATTAGAAATCAAATAAAAACGAAAGGGTAAGGAGTTTACCTCGAGTTCTTCTTCTGCGGATATTTCAATATCGTTAAGTGGTTTGAAAACATTTTCACTGAGCAACTCCTCTTCAAATTTTAACATTACTTCACTTGAAGACTCAACATTTGTTTCCGTGCTCAAAATAGTTTCGTTTCGCCCTAATAAAGTTCATGCATACATTTTAGAATCTTTATGACAACAACAATAATTTCTTTAAGTGGTTAAAAAATTACCTAGAAGGTATGATCGAAATCTGTACTTGAATTCGAGAGGTGACGGATGGTCATGCAGCCCTCCTTTCATATATGTTCAATAACTTCACTAAACTTCACTCATTTTCATACATTTTTGTTTACTTTTACAAAAAAAAAAAATATTATCTCTGGTGATCAGGTAGCATGAATTTTATGAAATGTCATAATTTTATTAAAAGTCAAATGGTTAGCAACAACAACGAATGTCATTAAATGGAACTACCTTCTTTTTTGTATCATGGTAGCCTGTAAGAATTATTGTTCATAGGCTACACAATAAATAAATAAATAAATAATAATCTTGATAGATCAACTCAACAATCGCTAGAACTTATTAGAAACAAATTTATTCCAAACTACAGCAATTTTTAGACAGAACCTACATACAGAAATAAAGCATTAAATACAGGAGAACAAAAAATACAGGACGCGATGAACTTTAAGGAAGACGTCAACAATATTCAGGGCTATCACTGAATTCATCGTAGTCCAATTTTTCGTGAAATCTACTAAAACGATATCACTTGATCCGAATAATAATACGAATAGTAATAAGACTTCGATAAATTCAGCGATATGCCAGAATAATTGCGCGTACAGAACAGCAATATTGTGCAATAGGAGAGCAGAGGGAAAACGAAAGCATACTTCAATGTGAAGTTGTTTTTATCAATGTGTTTTTTGTGACATTTTATTTTTGAAGTGAGTTATATTTGAGTAGTCCACTTACAAAGTGCGCTATGTAAAATTTTTCTCGGTTTTTAGTTTTTGGAGGATTACGTACCAGTATTTATAGTAGTTTCATGTCCACTAACGACACAGTGCAAAATCTTTTTATATTCTGAAAAAAATAGCATCAAATGTTAACTCTTCTTTCAAAAGTCGTTATCATACTTGTTTATAAACTTTCAAAAGTATACATCTTCTGATGAACTTAGAAAACTGCTTTAGGTCGTACAGACTGTTAATGTTATCTTGTGTCATGTTATGTTATGTTACAATTTTGCAAGGCTCTTATTTATCCAAATTTTCAGGTAATAATAAAAAGATTCAATTTAAATGTTACTTGTTGTCGTAGTTGTTGTTTATTGTGCGCCAATTCAGCACAATAAAATTGTGCCAGATGGGTGCATTTTGCGGCATTTCACCTTCTTCACCAAAACCTGGGCAATTCGGAGTATGGTAATTCTATATCTCTTGTATATAGGTACAAAAACTATCGAGTTTATTTTAAGCGAGTTTTTGCATCTGATATTTCCCGATTTGGCTGCTAATAATGCGTACAAACTTTTCTATTCTAATGTGGGGCAGCACATATCAATAGCAAATTACAAAAGATAATTACAGCAACAAATTATACGCGACAGGTCTACGCTGTATATAACTATGATTTTGTAAATGGAAATTTTTATTATCAAAAAATATTACCACTTGTAATCGTAATTCGTGGTATGCTGGTAACGCTGTCAATATATACAGCAACTCAGCTATGAAGTTTTGCAGAAATTCTGGTATTTCGCGGGGCATTATTTTGTTACCAGCTTATAAGATGGTAACAAAATTTACAGGTGACTTGAGTGCCCAGAATGCGGAAAGAGCTTTAAAATTTACAGGAACTTTACTTAGCGCAGAATATAGATCTGACAGTGGCAGTGAGAATTACAACAAATACATCATAATGACGCTAAGAACCACCGAGGCGAAAATTCAGTTGCTCTGGTAACACCTCCTTCGCCTTGATAAAAGCCAAGATAGTTTTCACACAAGGGATGTTTGCCAATCTGTAACATTTTTCTCCGTGGTGAGACGCGATAAAAAATGTTCGGTGGGGTACAAATAAATTGAATTTTGCTGTGCCAAATCCGAAGTCAATTTTGACAGTTCAAAAACCAAACAAACGCTCTTTCTATTTTTGTGTGTTGCTGAAATTGTTAAAATTTACATTTATTTTTTAACTTGCAAGTAGCGTACGCTTTTTGTGCTTTATTCAGCTCCCATTTTGATTTTAACTTTTTATTATCGCCGGACAATATAATGTGTATACATATTCAGAAACTGTCAAAGCTGTATCTATCTCATGGGAGCTGCCTTCGATTCGCCAACACGAAACGAACGAAATTAATGAGGTACAACCAAACTCGCCGACGTTCATCGCTGCAAGCTAACTTTGTTATTACTTTTAGAACTGGCGAATCGGAAGCGGCTTATTTTGGCTTAGTCTTCAATACCAACCAAGCTAATCGGTTAATATGCCTATTATGACCTGCTGAGCACGTGAAAACTTTAATAATAATTGAATATTTTAGGCACACCCTGGAACAAAGATTTACAACTGTGACAAATATGGAGGGTGGTCTAGTTTGGAAAATACTTGGCGGCAAGTTGCAGAGTTCCGGAACTATTTGGATGAAATCGGAAAAATGCATTCTGATGGCATCAATTTAGTGGGTAATAAATTTTGCTTTATATTTTAAAATATGAACCTCAATAGAACATATCGTACCCCGCATATTACCTAGGATACTCTCAAGGAGGACTAATAGCCCGAGCTGCTATTCAAACGCTTCCTTTTCACAACGTTAAAACTTTCATTTCACTATCATCACCACAAGCTGGTCAATTCGGAGGTATACTAATTCTATATCTCTTGTATATAAGTACAAAAACTATCGAGTTTACTTTAAGCGAGTTTTTTGCGTCTGATATTTCCCGATTTGGCTGCTAATAATGCGTACGAACTTTTCTATTCCAATGTGGGGCAGCACATATCAATAGCAAATTACTGGAACGATCCTGTAGAGCAAGACTTGTATTTTAAATTTAGTAAATTCTTGCCAATTATAAACAATGAAGTTAAGACATTGAATTCTACGCAGTACAAAAATGCTCTACTTCGCTTAAATAAAATGATTTTAGTTGGCGGCCCAAATGACGGCGTAATTACTCCGTGGGAATCAAGGTTGGTTATGGCTGTTATTAAATGGTCTTTAAAATATTATGTAAACTTACCTTATTTGCAGCCACTTTGGGTTTTTTAACCAAACCTTGAATACAGTACCTCTACACAAACGGCAAATTTATATGGCTGATACCATTGGTTTGAAAACTCTCGAAACAAATGGCAAATTAATAATTGTAATCAAGCCATTTGTCCATCATCTTACATGGCATACAAATCAACGAGTTATACGGGAAGTGATTCTTCCATATTTAGATTAAAATACATATGTTTAGTAACACTGCATCGGACTAGTCCTGTATGCTGGGCTATGCTGTATGTTGTTTCTAGATTTTTCCTGTTATATACGAGATGGACGCGGGATTAAATATTCAATGCCGATCCCGAAAATAAATTTCTTATTCTGTTTAGCTTTGGAGCTTGTTTTTGTCTCAATATAACATTAAAAACATCCCCGTCCCGGCCGCAAATGTTTAAAGAACTTACCAATACCGCCCATCCCGGTCGTTTTAAAATTAGTACCGTGGGTCCCGCGGGTCCCGATATACCGCTCCCATTTCTAATACAAATTACCACTTTAAATTCATACGCTCTTGAATTTTTTTAGCTACAGTATATTTTGCTTTGCTGCCTTTATGCCTATGCGCACATTTAAGATACCTACCCCAAAATGTGCATCAGCGGCATTATTTTTAACATTTATAAGGATAGATGCATTCAACAGACCTGCACATTTCCCATATCTGACTTAAAAATGGGCATCTATTATCAATTATCAAAGAAAATAACATTTACCTGCACTGGCTCTACACTTACCCTAATTTTACAAGATTTTATTTAATTTGCTCACCTCGCAGAACAACGAAAACGGCTATCATTTTAGGTATGTACTTATATAGACAATTAGATAGCATTCGGAAAAAAATTCGCTTGCAGTAATTTCTACGTGGTACGTGCTCTACATTATTATGTTTCATAGGCATTCGGATACCTTTCTCATTGGAGTATTAAAGAAAATTCACTCGAAAGTGCCTTTTTCGGTTAAGCGCAAAAGTTTTTCGTGCAAAGAAGTATGGGCAGCTATGCTAAATATACTGTACATAGTTTTTTGATAATTTTTTTTAGAGATTATCTTAATTATATTGTGTATAATCTTGATAGATGAACTCAACAGTCGCTAGAACTTATTACAAAAAAATTTATTCCAAACTACCGCAATTTTTAGACAGAATCTACATACAGAAATAAAGAATTAAATATGCTGATTTAATACTGATTTTTCATCATTTTCAAAATTTCGCTAATTTTATACGAAACTATTTATATAGTAAGTATCTTCTTCATCATGCTCGGAACAGCTTGGACTTCTATAAACGTCTTCAGGGAATACTAGGGCAGCCCTCTATATATTATAGAAAAATTGATAGATTTACTCGAGGGCGTCAGATTAATAATTACATGCTGAGGAGTATGAATTTCAATAATCTGATGATTTGAGCGTGACGCAAGGGAGAGGATCGCAAACTTGCAAAAAAAACTTTACCTTGATATTCTCGGGCGCGGTAATTTTTTTTTTAGCACACAACTTAATGATAACGAGAAATATATACTCTTCTGATTTCCAAAAGGCGAGGCAGCAAAAATGGTCAACAAAATTTTTCGCATGCGCCTGCAGTTTTTAAACTTATACAGATTTTTTCTGCCAAATTCGTTATTTTTTTTATTTGCTTGCGTCACGCATCGTCGCTCCCCGCATAGCACAGTAACCACATACATAGAACGATTAACTGAATTTTTAGCAAAACAAAAGACGAATTGAACAAAACATCAAAATGTGGTCCTTGAAATCAAATGTAGAGCTGGCGAAGCATGCAAAAAAATATACATAGGCACAACGAAGCGCGCTGTCGGTATTTGAAACTACGACAATATTAGAAGAGAGATAGAACGCGATTAATATAGGAAAGTCTGCGAATACAACAAAAAATACAGGACGCGATGAATTTTGAGGAAGATGTCAACAATATTCAGGGCTATCACGATTACGATGAATCCAATTTTTCATGAAATCTACGAAAACGATATCACTTGATCCGAATAATAAAACGAATAGTAATAAGACTTCGATAAATTCACCGATATCCCAGAATAATTGCGCTTAAAGAACAGCAATATTGCGCAATAGGAGAGCAGAGGGAAAACGAAAGCATACTTCAATGTGAAGGTGTTTTCATCAATGTGTTTTTTTGTGACATTTTATTTTTGAAGTGAGGTATATTTTTCAGCAAAAATTTGTATACCATATTTTTTTATCGTTATATATTTTATGTTCATTTTTGTTTTCAATGAACACCAGAACCTGACCTTTAAACAATTTCTGAGTGCTCAGAATTTATGAGTCTAAAATGAGTCCATCTTTCATTACAAATATGACTGTCAGACAAGTCAACCAGACTGATTCATTTCGGACTCTCTTATAGTCATTAATTCTGAGTTGAACAAAAGTAACAAAATTTACGCAGAAGTTAAAATTTACTAATCATCAGAATTATGAAGAATATTTGTTTTTAACGGTCTGATCAAAAGATTGCCGCAATGCGCCAATTTTCGCCTTAATTTATGTCCCAATCATGTGATATCACAATAAATTGACTCAAACGGTAATCGCGGGCAGTATTGTGCTTAATCAAATATACGCCGCGTGCAACAAAAATTATATGAAATGAGGAAATCGTGAGACTACGAAGAATTCGATTGGGACAAATTGTTTATTGTGCGCCAATTCAGCACAATAAAATTGTGCCAGATCTTAAGACTCAGAAAAACTTTCATTTCACTTTCTTCACCAAAAACTGGTCAATTCGGAGGTATGGTAATTCTATATCTCCTGTATATAGGTACAAAAACTATCGAGTTTATTTTAAGCGAGTTTTTGCATCTGATATTTCCCGATTTGGCTGCTAATAATGCGTGCAAACTCTTCTATTCTAATGTGGGGCAGCACATATCAATAGCAAATTACTGGAACGAGCCTCTGGAGCAGAGGTGGGCAGCTTCGGCAGGGCATTTTTGTAGTGTGCGTGGGAACATGTCGTGCGTTTGAATGAAGCTATCGCTGGCTTCCCAAGCAGAGCGTGTATGTATACGCGAATATGCCGCGCAGTCGACCGCCGGGCAGACGCTGCCCAGCTGTGCTCTAGAGCAAGACTTGTATTATAAATTTAGTAATTTCTTGCCAATTATAAACATTAAAGTTAAGACATTGAATTCTACCCAGGACAAAAATGCTTCACTTCGCTCAAATAAAATGATTTTATTTTTAATATTGTTATTGAGCTTTGTTCCACGATTATATTTAATTATGAAAATTGGAAAAGCAACAAAGTCTAAGCGGTAGAAGTTATAGCAGCTATTTCGGAGATCACCACATTTCCTAATCAGTCTTTATTTTCTAGACTTCAGCAGGGATCGAACCCGCGTCATCGATGTGCAAAGTCTGAAGCGTTAACCACTGAGCTGTGCGCACTAGCGGGGGCCGAAAATTTGCTTTTTAGAATTTTGATTGGTACTAGCAAAAATAAGTGTGAAAGATGACAGTTGTTGGTCAATATCTTAGGCTCGCCCAAGTCCATCAAAGTTCAATGTGCTCAAAAAATAAAAATTAATAAATACATTAATTAATACATTTTTTTATTGAAATTTCAATTGTCTTCGAAAGTATTAGTCCTACATAATTTGCTTTTTTGTAAAGAATCGAAGTAAGCTAAGATACCTGTTCGCCTCCGGCAGTAACGGTGGACTTGCTGCGCCATGGGGCTCTGCCGTGGTCGACCGTTTTTTCCCTTTCCGTTTTTCCGGGCTCCGAAAGGCGGCCAAAGAACCAGATGATATGAACACAACTAAAGAAGCCTCGGATCCCTGCACGGGTAGTGCCGCCGCTGGACACGGCGAAGTTAGGTCCAACAAGACCACCATCTCGGGAACCGCATCGACAGCGCCGAAGACAGGGCCTACACGGCCCAAACAGATTCGGTCCTCCGCATATTCTGGAGGGAATGCTAAGCCCCCAGAGGGAAAGCAAACTTCCAGCGGCACCGGCCGAACTATACCCCTCGAGGAAAAGTCGAGGCCGGTGGGGAAGCTGCGGACGGCCCCTCTCTCTACGCCCATCCCGGGTACATCCAACTCGCGTGGGGTAGTAGCCGAGCCCAAGTCCTCCACGTACAAGCTGGAGACTACGCCTGCGAGTAAGACTCCAACAACCGGGGCAAACGACCTGGATCGGCGCCCCAGCTGCTATTAGCTACGGCTTTTACTCCACGGTAAAAATCCACCAGAAAACGAACCAACAAGGGGAGGAGGCCGGCAACGCCTCGAGCGGACCCGCTCTTCGCGATAACTCTACCGACGAAGGGGCCAACAGCACAGGCAACGCCTTGAGTGGGCCTGACGCCTCCGAGTCGGCATCGGTGGCAGACAGCGCGGGGTCCACAGGAAACACCACGAGTGGACCTGGGGACCTACCAACGCGTGTACCCGATACCGCGTCAGATACTGAGGGCGACACGAGCTCAGTATCTGCCTATGTAGGGTCGGTATACAGCCGGTGGGCAATGCTGAACGATGACCAGCTTCTGGACTCCGAACCAGAGGAGGAGGATAATGACGTCACAGTCATTGCCGCCGCCGAACGGGAGGAGCTAGAAGCGATAGACATCACCTGATGATGGTGCAGATCCCCCAAATTAATCTGCACCATTCCAAGGCAGCCTCGGCTGCCCTTCTTCTTCACCTCGGCAATAAAGCTGAGGACTTGATTCTAGTCCAAGAGCCTTGGATCGTCAGAAACAAGGTTTGCGGACTGAACTCTGATGCCTACTAGGTTGTAACAGCTCCAGTAGCAGGTAGGATCAGAGCTTGCGTTCTGATTAAAAAAGTATATTCTTATTTTTTACTCTCCACATACAGCGACGAGGACACTGTCTGCATCCGCGTCCAACTGAAGGAGAACGTGATCTGGCTGGTAACAATCTACATGGCCCACGACAGCAATGTTTTTCCACCCTACAGACCGGAAGAAGCTGTGAAGGAAGCAAATCGCAGGAAACTCCCGGTCATAATAGGGGCAGACTCTAATTCGCATAACACGATCTGGGGCTGAAGCGACACCAACTCTCGAGGTGAGTGTTTACTTGACTTTGTTCTTTTATATAATCTTACTTTAAGTAACCGCGGGTGCGACCCCACTTCTGTGAAATCTGTTAGAAGCAAAGTTCTGGACATCACCCTTGTTTCGAGCGGTTTGCCTGATCAGATAAGGGACTGGCAGGTGTCCAAAGAACACTCTTTTTCTGACCATCTCTACAGTAGTTCTAAGCTCAANGTATCTGCCTATGTAGGGTCGGTAT